AAATGATTTGAAGAAATGAGAAAAAATATTAAGTTTAGAAGAAAAACGAAAATAGAACTGATGAATCAATTTTTTTAAGAAAAATAAATTCAAGGACTAAATTTAAACATGTTCTGGATGGACGGGATTCAATAAAGAAACTGAAAATGAAATTGAAAAACCGAAAACAAACAAACATGAGATGAAATTAGGCTTTTCTTTTTCATGGAAAAATTTAATGAAATTAAGCAGGCAACAAAGCTGTCGCTTGGCAATGAGGAATAGCGAGTGATCAGAGCAGGACAAGCAATTATTTTGAATGTTGAGCAAGGCGTCAGCATTATTCTTCGCTTTTGATTTAAGACGCCATCACTCTTTTCCGCCATGAAAAGCCTTCACGTGACCAGACAAGATGGAGGATCGGAGGTGGGGTACGAAAACCGGACGGAAGAAAATACTTTTCATCTGCAAATATTTAAATCAGCGAATTGAAAATTTAGAAATAAAAATAAATGAACAAATAGAATTGATAACGATATAAATGCAAATTAGATTTTATTTTTTTTTTTCAATTTGTTCTTTATTTCTTTTGAAATATACTTTTTTTTAATTTTTAATTTAGCAAAAAAATTTTAAAAAATTCTTTTTACTTGAAATTGAAGATCTTATTTGAAAATAAAATTTGAAAAAATGGCATAAAATACAGACATGTTGTGATTGTTGTGTTCAATTGACTAATGAGACCGGATGATTGCAAATAATAATAATAATAATAATAATAATAATAATAATAATAATGATAAGAAGAAGAACAAGAAGAAGAGGAAGAAGAAGACAGCTTTTCCACAAACAAGAAAAACAAAAGGATAAAGTATTTCCATAAAAGAAGAAAGATAAGCAAAAAAAAAAGAAAAAAAAAATGAAAGAAGAAAAGGTAATGACGAAGGACAAGCGAAAAAAAAAAAGAAAGAGAGAAACAAACAAACAAACAAAAAAACAAACAAAGGAAAAAGTGACGAAGGACAAGATAAATGAGAAAAAGGTTTTGACGAAGGATAAGCAAAAAGAAAGAAGGAACGAGCGAAAGAGGAAAAGGTAATGATGAAGGGCAAACGAAAAGAAAGAAAAAAAGAAAGAAAGCCAAAAAGGTAATGATAAAGAGCAAACATAAAGAAAGAAAGAAACAGCTAAAGAGGAAAAGGTAATGATTAAGGGCAAACGAAAAGAAAAAAAGAAAAAAAAAAGAAAGAAAGAAAGAAAAAGAAAGAAAGAAAGAAGAAAAAAAAGAAAGCCGAAAACGTAATGATAAAGGGCAAAGGTAAAGAAAGAAAGAAAGAAAGAAACAGCGAATGAGGAAAAGGTAATGATTAAGGGCAAACGAAAAGAAAGAAAGAAACAAAGAAAGAAAGAAGAAAAGAAAGAAAGAAAGAAAGCCGAAAAAGTAATGATTAAGGGCAAACGAAAAAAAAGAAAGAAAGAAAAAAGAAAGAAAGAAAGAAAGAAAGAAAGAAAAAAAGAAAGAAGAAAAGAAAGAAAGAAAACCGAAAAGGTAATGATAAAGAGCAAAGGTAAAGAAAGAAAGAAAGAAAGAAAGAAAGAAAGAAAGCCGAAAAGGTAATGATTAAGGGCAAACGAAAAGAAAGAAAGAAAGAAAGAAAGAAAAAAGAAAGAAAGAAAGAAGAAAAGAAAGAAAGAAAGAAAGCCGGAAAGGTAATGATAAATAGCAAAGGTAAATAAATAAATAAAGAAAGAAAGAAAGAAAGAAAGAAAGCCGAAAAGGTAATGATTAAGGGCAAACGAAAAGAAAGAAAGAAAGAAAAAAGAAAGAAAGAAAAAAAAGAAAAAAAAGAAAGAAAGCCGAAAAGGTAATGATAAAGATCAAACGTAAAGAAAGAAAGAAAGAAAGAAAGAAAGAAAGAAAGAAAGAAAGAAAGAAAAAAAGAAAGAAAAAAGAAACAGCAAAAGAGGAAAAGGTAATGATGAAGGGCAAACGAAAAGAAAGAGCGAAACAAAAAACCAAAAGAAAGGACAATTTAATGACGAAGGCGAAATGAAAAGAAAGATAAGAGAGAGACATAAAATAAAGAAAGACTTCCCACGGAAAGAGATAAAGAGAGAAGCTCCGAAATACAATAATGAAAAGGAAGAGAGACAAATTTTAAGAAAGATTTATAATGAAATCCCAAAGAAGAAAGACGACAAAAGAACACGAGAAAATGGCGAAAAGATAAAGTAATGGACAGAGAAAGATTGGGAAAAGGCAGACGAGAAAGTTTTCTTGAAAGAAAAAAGGAAAAATAAGGAGAAGTCGGAAGAAAACGGAAAACTTATATTCAGACAGACAGGCAGGCAGACAGACAGACAGACAGACAGAAGAAGAACAGAAGAAGAAGAAGAAGAAGAAGAAGAAGAAAAGAAGAAGATACATCTAGAAGGTGATTGTGAGGAGACGGATGAAAAACAGGGAAAGGTGCAGGCAAATAGTAATAGCTAGGGAAGTGGGTGATGAAGATAAACTAAGTTAAAGAGAAAAGAGAGAGAAAGATTGAGAGAAGAAGAAGAAGAAGAAGAAGAAGAAGAAGAAGACAGATACATATTCGTTAGAGGATGATTGGGAGAAGAGTGAAGAGGGTGAAAAGCATAAAAGGGGCTCGCAAATAGTAGTTACAAGGGAAGGAGAGAAAGATAAAGTAAGAAGAGAGAGAAAAGAGGAGAGAGAGAGAGAGTGAGAGGGAGGTGGGGTGGAGAAGACGAAAGACAAACAGAGAGGCATGCCGTTTAGACAACGCCGACGACGGAAAAAAAAAACATAGAGAGAAGTGTGAGTAAAAGAAAAGAAGAAAAGAGACAGAATATAACAAATAAAAGAAGCAAAAATGAAAGAAAATTTAAAGTAAAGGCAAACAACGATTAAAAAAGAAACAGAAAGAAAGAAAGAAAGAAAGAAAGAAAGAAAGAGGGACAGAATGAAAGAAAGAAAGGGTGACAGAAAAAAAGAAAGGAAGAAAAACAGACAGACAGACAGACTGAAAGAAAGAAAGAAAGAAAGAAGGAAATAAATACTATAAAGAAAGAAAGATATAACGATAATGATAGATATTAACATAAGTGTGATAGATAATGACCTGTAAGCGGATATACTTACCTGGCATAGGAGTTAACCATTAGCCAATGAGGGTTTACTGAAGCGTGATTAACGACCACACAACCCCTGTGCTGTAGGTGGAGCTATGATTCTTCTCATTTTAGATATGAGATGTTGCTGAGACCCGGGGATTCCACTCCTGCAGCAGCACCTTCCTCATAGCTCTAAAGTGGCGAAGCTCTGCGTAATATTGTCCTTTTAATATTGAGGATTTTTCTTTCATCCCCCACACATGACTAGCAAGTTTCGTATTGCGCTTGTATTTTGCCAGTTTGAAGGAATATCTGTAGTTATAACACCTCTTTTTGAACGTCCTCTTTGTGGATCTAATATGTACTTTTCTTGGCTCTTTTCGTACCCCAAGTTAATTCCTCTTCTTTTATTTTTCTCTCTCCTTAATACTGTTTTTTCCTTTTTCTCATATTATTTCACACTGAGTAACCCCCTTGCGTCTTAGTGGCTTTATTGCCTTACTTGGGGAGAAACGATTAAAATTTAAATGCAATGTAAATCTTTATCTTCTGTCTTCTTAATTCCTCTTCTTTTATTGTTCTCTCTCCTTAATAATGTTTTTCTTTTTCTCATATTCTTTCACTTTGAGTCTTAGTGGCTTTATTGCCTTACGTGGAGAGAAACGATTAGAATTGAAATGCAGTGTCAATCGTTATATTCTGTCTTCTTAATTCCTCTTCTTTTATTGATCTCTCTCCTTAATAATGTTTTTTTTTGCGTCTTAGTGGCTTTATTCTCTTGAGTGGGTTGAAATGCACGATTATTATATGAAGCGAAATCTAACTGCTATTTTGAAAATTACTCTTTTAATATTTGATAGCGTCTAGAGAGATTTTTTTATTTTGGATTGTTTTAGAACTAATGTGGCGAACATTCTTGCTGCATATTCAGTCTGTTAACTGCCATTCGTGATATACTTTTGGGCGATCATGCCACTTTTGATTCGTGACTGACGAGGCAGTAGGTTGCCGTCTCTTTCTGCTGTCGACTGCTTGCCAGCTAATGCATTAAGACACAGTCTTGTCTTCCAATTCAACCCATGAATGGGTTGGGGAGAGAAAAGATGGATGTCATACCTTTCCCAATGAATGAGTGTAGCAAACCCGGCGGGAATTTGAACCCAGATTTGCGAAGTCTAATTCTCAGCCTCTATCCGTTAAACCACATCGCTCATCCATATTAGTTACCGATGAATAAAGAGAGATTTTTCGCAGCCTGGGTTTTCGGCGGTAGCCACGAGGGAAAGAAATTATCGCTCGAAACCTGGCATTTTTATACAATTGTTGATTAAATACAAGACCGAAAAGCCAATCAAGATATAGGATTAATGAATGAGATTGGTCTAAGGGCGTAACTGGAGGAAGTATCAAATAGATATGAGGATAGGTAGGATAGATAACAGTCCACAGCTAGGGATCACCATGTGAGGTACACAGGGTTGAAACATCCCCCATTCCATTCGCATTCTACTGGTAAGGAGGAACTTTCATTAAGTATCTTCCCTAGAATTGTTAATGTGTGGAATGGGCTCCCGTGAGGATGCTTCCCCGATACTAACGATCTTAATATCTTCAAGTTTCCGGTCAAGAGCTATCTACTTTTAACAATGAATTCAGTAACACTCTTGCGCCGCGGTTTTATCGGACTAAAATAATATAAAAAAAAACTGACGTCCTTGGGCCTTGGTTTTATCGGACTAAAATAATATAAAAAAAAACTGACGTCCTTGGGCCTTGGTTTTATCGGACTAAAATAATATAAAAAAAACTGACGTCCTTGGGCCTTGGTTTTATCGGACTAAAATAATATAAAAAAAACTGACGTCCTTGGGCCTTGGTTTTATCGGACTAAAATGATATAACCCCACCGAACCCCCCCCAAAAAAAAACTGGCCTCTCTAAATTAATGTAACTGCAAATGTTCCATATTTTCTGATTTAGACAGCAGTTAAGAAATTCGAATCGTAATTCAGAAAATATTTTCGTGATGTCAAACGCTAAACATTCATAATTAAATCTATCTTTTTTTTCTCTCTCTCTTTTTGGTTTTTTCAGTTGCGTTGACAGCAGCATCTCACTGTCCCAAAGATTATTACAGTCGATCGAATGCCTGCCTGACAGATTACAGCATCCAGTTGTCAAATATAAGAAGTAATCAACTCAAGTTGTTGACGGGTATTGATGTTGAGGCGGTCCGGGCACTTTGCAGGTAAGAAACGCTTTTGAATGTAGGTAAACGTAAAGGTTGCTGTGTACATAGTTATACTTATTTACGAAACTAAAATTGCCTGCTATTAACGTCTATATATGTTTTCAAGAATTGCATATAGAGTTTTTACCTGACTTACATTGTCTGCTGTTGACATCTGTATACATTTTCAAGATGTATTCATATGTCTTTAGGAAACTTACATTGATTGTTGTCGATGTCTATATACGTTTTCAAGATGTATTCATATGTCTTTAGGAAACTTAAATTGATTGTTGTCGATGTCTATATAAGTTTTCAAGATGCATTCATGTCTTTAGGAAACTTACATTGATTGTTGTCGATGTCTATATAAGTTTTCAAGATGCATTAATGTCTTTAGAAAACTTACATTGATTGTTGTCGATGTCTATATAAGTTTTCAAGATGCATTCATGTCTTTAGGAAACTTACATTGATTGTTGTCGATGTCTATATAAGTTTTCAAGATGTATTCATATGTCTTTAGGAAACTTACATTGATTGCTGTCGATGTCTATATACGTTTTCAAGATGTATTCACACACACACACACACACACACACACACACACACACACACACACACACACACACATATATATATATATATATATATATATATATATACGAAACTTAAATGGCCGCTGTGGACGTGAATATACATTTTTCAGATGTCTTTACGAAATTTAAATCGCCTGCTATTGACACCTATACTTGCTTTCAAGAATTACTTATATGACTTTACCTATCTCACACCCCGTGCTATCGACGTTTATATACGTTTCCCTGATGTATTCATATGCCGTTACGTAATATTCATTGTCTGCTCTCGACATCTATATACGTTTTCAAGACGTACTGTATTTTTCGGCTTACAAGGCGCACTTTTTCTTAACAAATACCCTGAAAACTATATGTTCGTCTTCTAAGACGAATATAAGGCAACGCCCAGGCTCAAGTAAGCTTGAATGGTCCCCTAATTGGCTTGACTGATAGGGACGTTGATTTGTATGCTGAGACATTACACTCTAATGTTAGCTATCTATCTAATTCAGCCTTTTATCTGATGTAACCTCAGTACTTAGCTGTTACAAGTATTTCCAAGACTATAAACCTTCCTGGAGCCGAGCCACAAACTTAAATATGCTCTGTTTTACTAGCAGAAAGGGAGGCTTTCTGCTATTGACTAGTATGTCCTTGACATACAAACAAAATCTGACGAGTGATTAATGTAAATAATACGTGGCACCAGTATGTGAGGGATGCATGGTGAATGTGTTGTTGGATGAGAATGATTTTTTTTTTTTTAGAAATTTCTTTCTAATGTTAGAGTGCGTCTACAAAGCCGCAGTTTTTTGTAAGCCGGAAAATACGGTAATTATCGACAGAAATTAGTTTTTGTAAATCGTTATTATATTATTTTAATGAGTCTTTAAATATAATTTTTCCCCAATTATACTTGCTCTTTTACTCTGCTCTTTCACGTAATCGGTCTTTTTAAGTAACAGTTCAGTACTCTTTTCTTTGCGTCTTGTCAGCCGGAAAATACGGTATTCATATATCTTTACAAAACTTACATTGCCTGCTGTCGATGTCTATAATTGAAAGAGCGATAACAGCTACTGGACACAAGAAACCAATTTGTCTGAAGAGGTAAGTAAGGTGGACTTCTTCTATACTGGAAAGAACGATAACAGCTACTGGACATGAGAAACCTATTTTCCTGAAAAGGTTAGGAAGGTAGCCTCCATCGATACTGGAAAGAGCGATAACAGCTACTGGACTTGAGAAACCTATTTTCCTGAAAAGGTTAGGAAGGTAGCCTCCATCTATACTGGAAAGAGCGATAACAGCTACTGGACTCAAGAAACCTATTTGTCTGAAGAGGTTAGGAAGGTAGCCTCCATCTATACTGGAAAGAGCGATAACACCTACTGGACTTGAGAAACCTATTTTCCTGAAGACGTTAGGAATGTAGCCTCCATCTATACTGGGAAGAGCGATAACAGCTACTGGGCTTGATAAACCTATTTGCCTGAAAAGGTTAGGAAGGTAGCCTCCATTTATACTGGAAAGAGTCATAACAGCTACTGGACTTGAGAAACCTATTTTCGTGAAAAGATTAGGAAGGTAGCCTCCATTTATACTGGAAAGAGCCATAACAGCTACTGGACTTGAGAAACCTATTTTCCTGAAAAGGCTAAGAAGTTAGCCTCCATTTAGATTTCCAGATGATTAGATACCGTTACGAAACATACCTTGTCTGCTATCGAGGTCTTAAAGATTTAAATATGACATTACGAAACTTACATTAACTGTTGTTGATGTACACACACACTTTCAAAATGTCTTTATCTGTTTTCACTAAACTCACACTGTGTACTTCCGACCGCTATATAAGATTTCAGATCACCATGAAACGTTATAACAATGTTACGACAATGTGTCAGAGAAAGAGTGAACTTTATTCTTTTTAGAGATGTTTAAACATATAATTAAGTGTCAGAGATAAATTGTATTAAAGAATACATGAATAGAAATTTTGGTAGTGTGATCTGAATATATGCCGCAGAGGAAAGTCGTGAAATCTAGTGTGTGTCTCACTTCCTGGCAAGTTGAGGTCCACCATAAACAAATTCACGCCATCGGTACAGTCTTCTGTTCTGATTTTCTTTCACCTCCAACCAAATCTTACAAAGCCAAATGGCAACAGGGATGATGGGAGCAGGTTTTGGTTGAATTGAAAGCTTCTAATGCGCAGAGCCATCATCATAAAGGAGGCTATCAGCAAAGAAAAAAAAAATTAAATTCTTGAGTACGAAAAGAATGCCGACGACGATCCGAAAGAAATCAACATGTGACCTTTCCTCAGATTAAACGATCGATCTTAACTTCGCGTTCCAGTCTACTGATTTTAGGTTAGACTAAAAGTTAATCTGCTTGAGATCGGATAGAAAGTTTACAGGTGCTCGTTGGACGATATTCTTTCTTCCCTTCATATCTCAATATGGTTTTATAAGAACAAATGCAGATTGCTTTCTATCTATCTATCTATCTATCTATCTATCTATCTATCTATCTATCTGTTACTATCGCAATATGTTTCTTTCTTTCTATCTATCGACCTATCTACCCCAGTCTGTTCATATGTAAACTATTCATATCTATCTATCTATCTATCTATCTATCTATCTATCTATCTATCTGTCTGTCTCTCTCTCTCTTTCTATATATATATATATATATATATATATATATATATATATATATATATATATATATATATATGTGTGTGTGTGTGTGTGTTTGTGTCTGTGTTGGCTTCAGTTGTTGAAGAAGATTTTGATATCTGTATAGAACATTTCAAAATAAGATGAGGTAACTACGCAATGTTGAATTCTAGGTGTACAGGCTATCTATCTATCTATCTATCTATCTATCTATCTATCTATCTCAGTCTCTTCGTTATCTATCTATCTATCTATCTATCTATCTATCTATCTATCTATCTAATTCTGGTCTTTATCTATCTATATATCTATCTAATTCTGTTCTTTATCTATCTATCTATATCTATCTATATATATATATGTGTGTGTGTGTGTGTGTGTGTGTGTGTGTGAATGTGTATCTATCTCAGTTTTTTTCTATCTACCTTAGCCTGTTCATATGTAAACTGTTCACATCTATCTATCTATCTATCTATCTATCTATCTATCTATCTATCTATCTATCTCAGCCTTTCTTTCTCTTCCTTCTCTTATATATATATATATATATATATATATATATATATATATATATATATATATATATATATATATATATATATGTGCGTGTGTGTGTCTGTTTGTGTGTATGTCTGCAATATTTATTGAACAAGATTTTTGAAATCTGTTTATAACATTTCTAAATATAACATGAGGTAACTACGCAATTATGATTTATAGTTTCACAATCTATCTATCTATCTATCTATCTATCTATCTATCTATCTATCTATCTAATAAATGGGAAAATCCATTTAAAATCCAACATGTCTAAAACTGATAATAAGAGTAAGTGCTTAACATAATATGTTGTTTATTTTGATAGCATATTTAAATTAGTGTTATGATAATTTTCTGCTGGGCACAAAATGGAGGACATATCATTTGTTGTTATAAATTTATATACGTATCGCCCCCAGACATCCTGCAGATGAATATAATAATTGAAGAAATATATTCCAAAATGCGGATGTAATAAGAAGGACCCAGCAAATTAAGACGTCGTTTTAAACTAGTACACACACATATCTATATATATATATATATATATATATATATATATATGTTGATGGGTGGGGCATATAACCCCCATAGAAGACTTATGCACGCCAAGACGAATGGCGAAGGAACAGTTGGTAAGTAGCAATAATACGGAGGCAAAACGATAAACAACTAACAACGCGCTTCAATGATACAATCAAGACCGACCTTCAGGTGTGTAAGCTGAAACCAAATGAGGTTGGTGGCTTTTGTTGAAAATTGCAGACGCAGGCAAGCCGTAGTCAATTAAGCCTCATCGCTGCAGGAAAGTAACGTTATAGACAGTAATCATACAAGCCGACATTTAATGCCTATAGTGTTCCAGAGTATGAGCCGCCGGAATCGGCTTGCGGAACCATCTGAACATGCGCATACGAATGCATAAAGAAAATCCTCTTCAAATCCGTTGTACAGCTTAGATATTGATATAGTTTCAGTTTATACCATATTTTTATAGATACAAATGAATGCTCTCTTTATAATAAACAGTATTAACAACATATACCGTCCTGAATGTCCGAGAAATCTTCATAGAAAATATTCGTCCTCCGACAGGAATCGAACGTGTATCCTATACGAAACTGTCACATAGCCTGACGTGCTTTTAACCGATTTAGCCACAGAGGAACGTTTCGGTTAGCAAGGTCGATTTTACTTTCTTTAAACTCCAATCTTCCATGAATCTCTCATGTACCTTCATATCTGCTCAAAGCGTATCCAAATATAAACAAATGACGTCATACATTATGAAATGGACAAAGTCCGACAATTATTTTCAGACATTTATATGTTTATACATTCTTTTTATAGATACAAATATTTAAGTAAATGCTCTGTTTATAATGAAAAGTATTAACAACATTTACCGGCCTGAATGTCCGAGACATTTTAATAGAAAATATGCGTCCACCGACAGGAATCGAACCTGTATCCTATACGGAAACCGTTATATAACCTGACGTGCCTTTAACCGATAGATCCAGTTACTAGATCCAAAGAGTTGTGAGTTCAATACCAGGTCACAGCAGTGGTGAAGCAAGATTTGGAGAGTTGAGTTAAAGGGAAATAACTGTGACATCAAGAATATGAGATGAGAGAGTACTTACACTGGTTGGCACTTTGTATACTAATCTCTAATAATTACGCTGACTGACTTTTTCGTGACTGTTATATCAGATGACAATATCTATACATATGTGAGTATTGACATAGGCAAGAAGACTCCGGCGGTGCATAGTGTGGAATAGGGCGGGGGAGTGAATATGGCTTCACAAAATCGTATGCAAATCTATTCCAATAAACAGGAATGTACGATATAAGTTTGCTCTATGAAATATCCTGTCATCAGGGGAAAAATAAGAAAAATTTACGCTCCATTTACAATAGGTGGGTATTCAACTGTAATTTTTCCCTTCGTGTTAACTACCTGGCCATCAGCGGCGAATTGTTCATTTTCTCTCACCTGATTTTTTCCAAAGTAGATTCCTACAAATTCGGCCATTAGGATATTAGATCCCATTTCTTAATTGTCAGCGAATTTCCCTGACATGAACTTTAGGAAAAATATGTTCTTCTATTGCCGATAAATTCTTGCATTTTTGGATGTGTTTTCAGAATGAAACTAAGCAAGTAAGCGTTTAGTTTTAAAAACTTACACTTTTTTATGCTTTCTCTCTCTTTCTTCTCTGTCTCTCATTTCTACCCTCAATCTCTTTCCCACACACTTTCTTTCTTTCTTTCTTTCTTTCTTTCTTTCTTTCCGACAGGTTTTTCATATCTATCTATCTATCTATCTATCTATCTATCTATCTATCTATTAGACTGTTTCTGTTTAAATATTTCTCCTACTTTCTTTTGCTTAATCTTTATTCTACACATTTTCTTTCTTTCTTTCCTTCTTTCTTTCTAACTTTTTTTACATATCTTTCTCTATCTATCCCTTTCTATCTATCTATCTATCTATCTATCTATCTATCTATCTATCTTTCTCTATCTATTCTGTTTAAATATTTCTCCTACTTTCTTTTGCATGATCTTTACACATTTCTATCTTTTCATCTATCTATCTATCTATCTATCTTTCTATCTATCTTTCTCTCAGGATAACTGGAGATAGATAGATAGAGAGCTGAAAAAACTGAGATAGATAGATAGATAGATAGATAGATAGATAGAGATAGATTCCGTGTAAAAAACAGGTATGAACCTCATCATTTTTTAAGGCGTTACCTTCTCACTTGGATCATTGGCGCAACTTAATCTTTCTGATCTTCCTTTCCCACATTTATATAACCTTGAGATCCTAAACGATACAGAACTTAAAAAAAACAAACTTGGAAAACGCCCACACGTATTCATTTTCATTTTTCAAGTGTTTATGAGCGCTTATTTGCAAATTTGTATATTGACCGCATTCGTTACTGTGGGACGGGCCCCTCCCCGAAAAAATGAAAAAAAGAAAAATAAATAAAAATGAAAAAAAAAAAAGAAAAAAAGAATCGAAAATAAGGAATGAAGGTTAGATCTTTTCTCGTCTTTCTTTTTCTCTCGTCACAGATATTTCGGAAGGCTGACTCAACTGATGTGTTTATTTGTCGAGGTACAAAAGATGAAGAACCATTGATACGGCTTCACTCATGTCGAAACAACTAAATATGGCTTCAAAATGAATTAGCCCCCACCCTTTCACTTCACAAAAAAGTCCTAAAGAGAAAAAAAAGAAAGAAAAAAGAAAATTACGAACCAATTAAGGCAACAATAAACAACTAAATTGCATAATCCCATGAGAAAGAAAATCCCAAGGTTAAATCCAGTGGTTTTATTTTGGGAAAAATACGATAATCAGTTTTTACAGACATTGTTACCTCAAAATATATTTCATATTATTATTATTATTATTATTATTATTATTATTTTTATTATTATTATTATTATTATTATTATTTTATTTCCTTTGATTTCTGATGTGTACTCATTTCTTTCCGGGTCCCGCCCAGGGACCTAAGGTCAGAAATGGCATCATGACACTTTCCACTGAAAAAAAAAAAATACATAGACAAAGCCCTTCGTTAGGTGTGAGCTGTACTCGGGAGAACAATTTTTTGTATTTTTTTAAGGCATGGGCTTCCAGGAATCCCTTCATTGAGTCTACTGGAATCTTTTCCAACCAATCTGAGAGCTCCAACTACAACTGGAATTGTTGATGTTCTCATGTGCCATATTTTTGAGATTTCGATTTCAAGGTCCTTGTATTTTGATAGCTTTTTGAAAATCTTGACTGACATATCAATAAGGTGACACTTTTTGATTTGTTTGCCGTCTCTAATAATAATGTCAGAGTGACGAGCTTTTATTGTTCTCTCTGTGTGTATTGTGAAATCCCATAAAATTGTTACAGGTCCTTTAAAGCATGGGCTATCAGAGATTCTTTTAATTAGTCTATTGCAGTATTTCCCAATAAATCCAAGGGCTCCAGCTACAACTCAAATAGTTAATATCCTCATACATTCTTTTATTTCCTTTGATTTCTGCTGTATACTCATTTCTTTCCTGGTCCCGACCAGAGACCTAAGCTCAGAAATGGCATCATGATAATTCCCACTGAACAATTTTGAAAAAAAAATCGCACATATTTTACATTGATAAAGGCTTTCGTAAGGTGTAGGTTGTACACGTGAGAACATCTTTTTGTATTTCTTGGTCATGGGATTCTAGGAATCCATTTAATGAGTCTACTGGAATTTTTCCCAAATATTTCGAGGCATCCAACTACAAAAGGGATTATAGATGTCCACATTTACTATATATTTTAGATATCCACTTCAAGCTCCTTGTATTTTGATAGTTTTACATATATATATATATATATATATATATATATATATATATTACGATAAACGTGCAATCAATTTACAAATTCATGAATTATTCACACAAAAACAAAAGCAAAGGTTAATGATTTAATTGGCGAGAAATCCATCATCGCAAACAATTCAAATAATATACAAAAAATTCCGAATCCGTTATGAATGAATTGATCCTTGTTTCCATAAATTTCTGCCGTATTAGTTCTTATTTTTACTACAAGCTTTCGTCTGTTCCTACAGACATCTTCAGGTATAGAATAGATGTTGTTCTTGTTTTTTCTCTTAGTAAAACAATACATATATTTTCGTTGTCCTCTTATTACTAAGAGAAAAAAACAGCCAGTTGCGTTATACAAAGTTGAGAACTGACTCCATTGGGAAGGTCATTGCTGAAGATCAGAAACAAGGGTAAAAATCTGGGGAACCCACGCAATAAGGTGAACGGATTTAGAAAGGATCACGAATTTCACTGTACGATTTGTTTAAGGAAGATTAGATTAAGTCAAATATTCGCCCAGAAACAATGCCAAACCTTGTCACACGCCTACGAGGTAACTGACGTCAAAACAAGAGGCTCGCCTTTCTTAGCTAAAGTTTGAGAGACAAAATTCAGAAATACCACTTATCACATCAGCGTTTGGCGTAGGAAAGACAAAGGCCTATTGTTTATTTGAAAGAAGGCCGGATGACGTGAGATGCTTAACAAATTTGAATTAATTAGAGGCTCTAGGAAATTGCCGAAAATAAGTCAGAGACTAATAGAACGATATTTCGAAGAACCAGAAGGTTCAGCAGAGTTCTTAAAGACAGGAACTGCAGAAATGTATTTCCAACAAGCTGGAAAGCAATAAGAATCGGCGTATTTGTTGTAGAATTTGGAGTACATTTCCTTAAGACATTTGCAAGGATACTGATAAGTCCGCGCGTGTTTTAGGGAACTAGTTTTTAGATGATAGTAGAAAGCATGATGATAATTGAAGTCACAAAGCAAAAAGATATTTGCAGACGAATGTGAAGCGCCAGCCATTTCTATACTGTCAGAAAGTCTAAGAGGAGAAAGTGAACGTTTATCGTTTCCCCTTCTTCTCAGGACTGTATAGAAATGGAAGACGAGATAACTAACCGTATTTAATGGTGAAAGTCGGAAGCGCATATAAAAAACAAGCCGGAGATTATTTTTTTTTTAATCGTTTCGCCCCGAATCGATAATTCCACTGGAATTTAGGGAGTTATATGGAACAAAAATCAAAGAGAATGAGAAGACTAGAAATGAGGAGGATTGATGAAATGACAACAAGTAACAGGTTTCAAGAAAACAAAAGGTGGCAATTGAAGTGGCATTTGACTTTTTTTAATACTGTAGTTATCAGGGAAGCAAGAAATCGGAAAGGATTTCCACAGGTGGGAAGTGCGAGAAAAAAAACTTTTAAAGACGGAAGGGAGGTTGCATGTAGCGAGTT